AGCTGTGAAATACACATCACCGAGGAAAGGCTGATTAGCCCTGTACAAGAACACTAACTGGAGTGGAGTTTCACTCATTGATCGGCGAACCCTGTATCACAGGTCAACAGATGCTGAGATGTTCGGTAAGGCAGAAGCAAAGAACATAGCAGTTTTCACTGAGAGTTCGATAGTATGTGGGATGACATACTTCTGCTGGTTTTCCATCGTCCGTACACCACCAGGTGTATTGTCGGCTCCCCAATGGGGCCGGCGGTCTCCCCGAGGGGGCCGATAAACCCCGGTCACCCGCAGGTACCATCCCCGGCTCAGTTGAGCGAGAAGTGGAAGCCTGAGGTCGGTTTACAATGTGACTTCCAGGATGCGCCAAGAATGAACGATACTGTCCTGACTGGGGTCGGGGCCCCAGATGCATGATACCTGCCACGAGAGTATAGGATGTCCACATGATGTCATGGTCAGAGCCCCGGAATACGGGGAAGCCGACCTTTTGCATTGCCTTGCATGGCAGTCGGATCGGATTTTTGCCTCGGGTCACGCTGGCATATCGTGCCAGGCTAATAAACAGAATGGGAGGGGCAACTACCAATCCATGCGGAATCTTTTGTTCATGCCACTGCACAACACATTCTTGAAGGGTAGCATTTGCACGTTTCGGGAGAGGTATGTTCACATAGGCAGTGCCACTGATGAGGGGCCGACGAGCGGCAGCAGTACCCGGAACAGGTCGGGCCTCCCAGCGACAAGTGGCAAACGGCAAAGGATTGCGTTCCAGCAGGTGGTGCAAAAGCTCCATGCAATCCTGTTGGTGATGCATATGCTGCCACTCCTCAAGCAGCGACCTCCAAGCAGGCATGTTGGCAATCAGCAGTTCTCCTTGCTGGGCGCTCATACCTGGGTGAGAGATAGCAGAGTTGACAGCATACTCAAGCGTGGTATCCACGCCGGCCCACCGACACTTCAATTCCTTGATGGCACCCATCGAATGGCGTCGCCTGTCCCTCAGGCTAGCCCTTCCGCGAGCGGTCACCTCCGCTGCGAA